TCCAGTTTCTCCATTCTGCAAATATAATCAGCCTACAGGGAGAAGTTAACTGCTCTCTGCCTCACCATTTGCTCTAAATGCCAGCTGCTATTTCTTGGATGATTATTTCTGACGTTGGCCCTAGCTTCAAGCACTGTGAGGAGGAAAGCTGCCACTGCGTATCCTTGCACAACAACTGTAATTGCTGAACTCTCCTAAGATGTTACAGTCAATCCTTTGTCCCATCTTATGGATGACTTCTGTGATTAGCCATTTGATTCAAATGCAACTACCCATTTAACTGTCCACTAATTTGCATATTCAAACATTCTGTGTATGTTACAAACATCTTCAACAAACACATCATTTAAGGCAAAAACTTCCCCTCTGTAGAGTGTGTGAAATGCACTAATTTAATTGAGAGAAATCTTCAAAAGCAAAGACATAGAATTAATCACACAAATCCTTCTAAAAATCAGTGGGAGCCTGCTTCCTAATCCCTCTTTACATTTTTGAAAAACTTCTACAATAGTCATTACTCCAGATGAAAGACAGCTGCCAGGTTTCTCTTGAGGCATACCCTGACCTATAATTTTGTATGAACATTTGAGCTAAAACATTGCACCACATTTCACTGAATTTCTTTCAGTTTCTCAGTGTTTACTGCCCAGATTAACCCACTTTTAAAATCAAAAGTGAGACTCTCTCAACTTGTTTGCATTTCCTAGTGTTAGTCAACAAATGACAATGAGAATGTATTCCCCATTAACAAGGAAATTCCAGGCCTTGTGGCAGGCAGTATAAATCACTGCAATATGCCACAAATAAAGAATGGTTGCATTTAGCTATGCTTCTACGTGTTTTCCCCTAATAAGCCAGCATCACCACATTTAAGTCATTGAGATTTCTGTCTCTTACCAGTAATAAAATACAAAGTTTAAGCTCAAGGCTCAGGCGTTATGTTATGAACCTCATACCAAATAATACTTTATCCTTCACATAAAGAAGACCTTCATAGTGATTTCCAAGGATTTAATATCTTCTTCCAAATGCTTTGTGGCCACACAGATGAGACAGCTCAATTTGTTGGTGACCACAGAACATTCAAAACAGTAGTTTTAAGGGCATATGGACAGAAGTGCATGGAAGATTTGTTTTTGAATACTTTTGCTTATCTTTGATTGCAAAATCAAAGATGGTAAGAGTACTTAGATACTGAAGGGTCTTCTCAAAACCTTTAATAACTAGCCACATTCATAATAAGCCTAAGGCATCTAATACTCTACAGACAGCACTGCATCCACCCTACTCAGCATAATGACAGGACTTGTGATTATGGCTGGCTGTAGGATAACCTTGTTAATGGCAGTGATAAGATTTAACAGTGCAACACAGAAAACTGACTGAAGTTCTACTGATGGTTGAAGATCATCTTGACAGATGAGCTAGTTTTGGAGATTTCACCTGCCTGAGAAGGTTCTACAATAAAGGCATTAGTCTGAAAGTTTCAGCTTCACTACACTGAAGTTGAAATGGCACAGGAAAGCAGCAGTTCCTCAGAGTATATTCCTTAAGAGATTAATCCATGATTAATTTGGTGTAGAATGTTTTTAACAGCACTAGAATGCAACAGCTCTTTCAATGGCATGTAATTCTGCAACTTAAATTTGGGTATTTTTCTTTATCATAAAAATGGATCAAGCATTCAGGGACATGTACATCCATAACACCATAACACAGGAAAAATCCCTCACATCTGAGCTAGTGCATGGAACCCAGTGTCCCTCAGCACACAATTGTAGGAATGGTCAGGGAGTTGTATAGATATCCTGAAGGGCAACTCCAAAGAAAACTCACTGTGGAGCTGATGAACCACAGCAGTGGGGTGAATCACAGCAGTGAACCACAGCAATTGCGCGCTCAACGGGGCAATTTAAAGGAGCTCAAACAGTGGGTGTACTCCCACTCTACGTGCAACAGTGTCCCACAAAAGAGAAAAAAGAATGGGGTAGTAAGTGTCAAGAAACAGCTTAGAGAAGTAACTTCTGTCAGTGAGATAGTCAGGTATATATTACAGAGGCAAGAAGTCTAGCCAGCTTCTCTTGTACATTGGCTCTTTTCAGTCTGTTTACTGAAAAAAATTGTACAGAACTCTTTTTTTCCATACGTCCTTAGAAGTACTGTTTTGAGTATTCAACATCAAAAAGCTCCCATCTTTTATTTTGGGAGATTAATGTGTTTAAAGAATTAACAGAACATCATTCAATGTACATCATTAACAGTTTTGTTACTGAACAACACACCTGCATGTAGTTTGCAACTAGTTTTCAACCCCTTAACATCTCCATGCGACACCAGGATTCAGCAGGTAACTGAAATGACACATTGACAATTTCTAGATATTTTACTTCTACAAAATGCTGAGTACCTCAAAAGGATCAGTTCACTTCCTACCCCTTCCTAGAACTCAAAATATGCTTTTCCAAATAATGCTGTTTAAAAAATCTACAAGTTAAAAAAAAATTAGTACATAAGAAGTGTTCCTGTCCTGAAAAACACAACATACACAACTGATGTCAACCAATACAAACAAAAATGAAAACAAATCCTGTGTTTAAAAAAACCACCAATTGCCCAATTAAAACATTGCTTCTAGAATCAAAGCACTTGAAAATTGAAGAATGTGAAAAGAATAAAGTAAAATAAAGATTAAATCTCAACAAAAAAAGTTTTATTTTTTTAGACGTAGTCATTTATCAAATTTAAAACGTCTTTCAGCATTTGACAAGTATCTTTGCTCCTTTGCATCTATTTTAAATGTAAATGCAAGTATTCTTTATTGCAAACATTAACTTTTACCATCAGACATCATCACCTTTTTAGTACAGAGTTCCTAGTATATATATCGGATGTGCCTAAGGCTACCAAATGAGTGATTTTTCTAACACTGCTCGATTGGCACATGTTGACTGTATAAACATGAAAAAACAATATATGATAATATTAAGAAGGAGCAACATCTCACTTACAATGTCTTAACAATAAATAAATAAAGCCTGACTTCCCCATCAGATGCAAAACTGAGTGTTTTGCATACTAGGAGAGAATTTGGATGCAAGATGCAAGTGATTAAGTTACAAAGGCTGTGCAAATATGCTGTATACAATAAGAGTAAAGCAGAATGTCAGATACCAAAAGATGCCTCTGTCATATATCAGTCTGCAAAAGTCTTTTCCTTGACTCCTGTTCAAATGCAGCACCTAAGCCACTTGCTCAATTCCTTCCCTCTCAAACCAGCTTTATGTAATACTATGAATATTCTGATTGAGTTCTTGGAATTTAGGCCACTGCATCTGTATTAAAGAAAATACTGCTTAAAAAGTAGTATCAATGATTCAGACAATTTTCTTTTCCTATTTCCATACTGCCAGCTGATGTATATATGTATATGCATAAATGTATTGTGTACAATTTGTGTATATATTTGTGTGTGTGCGCGCATACACGTGCACGGACCACATTTATTACTCTGGCCACAAATATCTCAGTTACATGGATCATTAATCATAACACTCAGAAATCCTATAGTTTCCCTTCCAGGTATTATTGAGAAACCAAACTATGTATTGTGTCAACTATAATCAAAGCTTACTGTTATATGCATGTATTACAACTTTCAAGATGTTCCTGTGAATTACTAGCTTTCTTTGTATTTGTGTATTCACAAAAAAATTGCTGTCTTCTATGTGGGTGGCAATGACTGATGTAACAGGACTGCTTTCAGTCTGTGATGAATAATCATGTAAGTCTTTAAAGAGACACAAAGTTAAAAGATCAGCATGCAAGTAATATTGCCACCAAACTGTTTCTTAATACTACTGAGATTTATTCGGTCGCTTACTTCTTTATAGCATTTTAATAATAGAAGATTCTGTATTTGTAGGGGACCTTAAATATAATATGCTTCATCAAGATTTTTACACATACATACTTCTGAAAAGTTTTGTCTGCATAACCTTTGCACAGAAAAAAAGAGGAGATTTGAACCTTCATGTCGAAACCCTATCTCAAAATGCACAGCAGCATTTGGCAGAAAAATCAATCATAAGAACCTTCATATCACATGGTACAAACACAATTTCTAGGCACATGCTAAACCACGTATTTGTAAGTATCATGTTGTATATGGGTGGTGACAAGGAAACTCACCTACTCCTTGGCCCACAGTTTTAAGAAACAGCTTTACAGCCACAGACTCTGGTGGAGAGATTTGTATATAGCAGAGCTGAAGGATGGAAACCCCAGCTTTTTAAAACATGTAGTTCATCATTAAAACAGCATAACCACCACCAAGTATCATAAACTACAAAAACAAAACCTTAATTATTTCCTCATATACATATATGCTGCCCACATAATCTACCTAGCTTTGCTAACTTAAGAACAAATGCTTATCTGTACACAGAAGAATTGCTGAGTACAGAGATACCATCCCCTGCCTGAAGAACAAAAACTACTGCAATGATAGGTGCCTCTGTGTCTAATACACAATGTTCCACAATTCGGGAGAAAAAAAAAAAAAAAAAAAAGTATGCTATTTTCTTTGAAGAAGAACTCTCAGAATACAATACTGTAGATAGCTAACAGCTGCATTACATTTGTCCATAGAAAATAAATAAGCTTACCTAGAGCATCTTCCCTACAGTTCCTGCTTGAAATACCTTAAGCACAACTCCCAACGTGATAGAAATACATACATGACTCAAACAGCAAACAGTCAGGGGCTTCCAAGAGACTTCAAATTTTTACAGTGACAAATAGATTTATATAGATAACATGAAGACAAAAAGGTACAGGTCTGCTAAGTTGTTCTGAACAAGTCACATACTCTGAAAGTCAGCTTTAGCATCTGTTCAATTTTAAATCGTCACGTTTATCTAACTATGGTGTTTGTAATTATTATTATAATTTTATTTTGAGGAACAGAAATAATTGTTTAAATACACAACATCAGTACTTACGGGTAAAATGATTAGAAGTGGATGGATTGACACTATCACCACTGTCAGCACTTTCACTGCTAGAAATGTCATCATCTGATTCCCGCACAGAGGAACAAGGTGAGGAGCCATCAACTTCTTCAAACTTCCTCTTTAAAATTCCACTCATTGCTGCAATGCTGTCACATGCACCTGTAGCAGGAACAGAGGCAATGAAGCATTGAAACATCCAACTGCAGAATATGCAGTCATAGTCTCCAAAGTCATTTTTATTTAGAAGTACCAATAACTTGCCACTTCTCATCTTGAATAGCCATTTAGTATGAGATTAGGTATAATTAATTAGGAGACAGTGAAGCCACAGGAAAGAAAAAAACCTTCATAAATCATACTTTCTAACTTGCTACCTGTGGAAATGGTTAGTTACATTGTTAGAATAATGGGTAACAGACTGGTTTCAGGGTATGTATTTTGCCATTTGGAAGTTATCCCTTTTCATGTAAAAACAAAAAATTAATTTGAAATATAGACTCTCTTCAGGTCAGGGAGAACTGGGTCTGCAACAGCCTGATGCTGTCCATGAGTTGCAAGGTGCTTAGCATTCCTGATTTCTATGGACATCAGCCCCAATCTAGGTTATGCTGTGAAACACAATGAAAAAGTGGGAGTTTCTCTTCTAACACTCTCATTTGGGAGGAAGAAATGTTCACGAACAGATGAAGAATAAAGAAGAATAAATCATACTGAACATTATAGTTCCCACTGCCAAATATGTGATCTAATTAGTGCTCACATCACACCTAAAAGAAATCGTAAGTTAAGTATTATCTGATAATTCCGTATTACAGAGAGATAAAAGGCAATGAAGTCACGAAGACCATGTATCAGTTTCACACTCAATAAACCCTTACAATTCAGAAATTCCCCACTCCAGTCAGAGATACTAATTGCTTCCCAAACTCTCTCCTCCCCATTTTAAGAAATGAGATGCCTAATATGCCCCTGAAGTTACATAGAAGAGTATAAGTATTTAAGCAGGAATTTAGCATCAAAGGTAGAAATTTACAATGACTATCACATAATTAAGGAGAAAGTGTATCTTTAGTGTAACCAAGGAGAGATGAAGGGCAGCTGTAGCTCGTTCAGAGGACACATATCTGCCCCAGTGCCTCCTGCAGCACTGCAGAGGTAAATGGTGCTAATACTTATCCAAGGCAAGAAGTTTATCTAGGACTGATGATATCCTAGATGAGCAGGATGCAAAATCCAGAGGACACCACAGAGTACTGCCAAATCCCACTAAAATCAAATCACATCCCTCCCTCAAATAGAACAACTTAAATCCCTGCAGCTACCTCTAGGACTAACTGCTTCCAAGCCAGGTACATTCTGCTTCAGACAATGAAGCCCCAGAGCTCCCTTCCAACCCAAACTTTTATGATTAAGTTTGTCAAAAAAAAAAAAAAAAAAAAAAAAAAAAAGCACCATGAAACTGTCAGGAAACTAACATATGTCAGGCTAAATGACTACTAATAAAGGATACAAGGTCAAGGCACAGACTCCAGTTGTGGCCATACTTCTTAACAATTAGCACGTGTCACAGCTTTGGCCCAGGCCACCTAGCACTCTCCTGGATCCTGCAGGGTGCAGCTGGTACTAGAGCCATGCCCAGTAGGCAGCCTGGATGAGGGCACCCTGTTTTTGGTGGACAGCTGACAGCCACTGTGGATGAGACTAATAACCTGCTGCTTCCATCAGAAGCCAGAGAATGCTGTCCTCAGCCTGCATCTTCTCATCTTTTTAATTATCACAGAGGTAGCCTTACTGAAGTAGCAGCTATGTTCTGATCCTGTTCTGACAGCACTTTGATAGATCCTAAGATATGTTTGCTAAACCTCAGAGGCAGTCTAGTACCAAATAGATTGAATGTCTCCTCTGCATCCCATAGCTCCCTTCAAGCCCTAAGATGAGTTTCCTTCTGTGAAAAATCAAAGGCAGCTTGTCACAGGATTGCAACCAACTTTTGGCCTGATATGAAGCTAGAACAGGACAAAGATGGATGTATGAAGCTGACAGCTATGAAAAACATATTGATGGATTCATCAAGTTACAGAAAGTCTGTAAGACTAATTCAAAACGGTAATTCAGCAAACAGATCTGTCTGCAGGAAATGCTAGGAAGGAGACTGAAGAATAGTACAGCTTCACCCCAGTGCAACAGAAATTAGTTCGAATTATTTGCTTTGCTTTGCTGACAAAGCATTTTACATTGCCTGCCAGATCCTAAACACAGCAGGATGAAGTTATGGGGAAGTTTGAACTTGCCTTTGTAAGCCAAAACTAGAAATTACAGATACATTATACAAAACTTTCATTATGTTATTTAATTACAAGGGCTAGAACAAAAGTTTTATAATAAAGGAGATCATTCACCTCTTAAGGAAGTAAAAGCTCTGAGAAGCACATACATGATTGCAGCAAGTTTAATATCCTGTCTCCAGTAGCAGTCAGTATTTAATGCTTCAGTGGAAAGCAATGGAATGAGAAATTCAGCCACAGCCCACTGCAAGATACACGGCTCTGCTTCCTCATCCTTGCAGTCAATTTCCCCTAAGCATAAGGCTGAAATGTTGCTATATTACTGTGCACAGCCTCTTAAATTCATTTGACTTGCTCTCCCAAGGCAACAAGTTTCATATTAGTTTATCAGGAAAAAAGACCAACAAAACAAATCTCCCAAAACTATAGCCACAGACCCTTCAAAATCACAGCAGTTCCAGCCTTTACAATATTTTGGACAGTAAGGAGCAGCAAAAATACACCAGTGTCCAGCAATATGCTTTACCAGAGAGAACCCCACCTATACTGGTATTTCCCACAAAGTGGAAATAGCTGAAGAGAAGTCACTGAGATCTTATTGCATTTATATAGTGATACTTACATTTCAATCCCCAAAAGCAATTAGATTACAATGGAGGTGCAGTGCACCCCGTGATGTGTATGGAGTTAGGAAACATGGTTATACTTGGGGGGGATGTGCGGGGATACAGGGAGGGCATGGCGATGGAGACACAAACAGAACCACAAAATCAAGTTCCTCAGCCCAAAGCTGAGCCTGTCAATCCACTGAATCCACTGCAGTTGCCTGAATGTGTGTTACTGCCTACATTTGCAGTCTCATAGCTGCGTAACTCTTAACATTCTCAGCACTGAGGCCTCACCTGGAGTGCTGTGTCCAGTTCTGGTCCTCTGGTACAAGAGAGACGTGGACATTCTGGAGGGTGTCCGACGTTGGGCCACCAAGATGATCAAAGGACCGAAGCACCTCTCCTATGAGGAGAGGCTGAGAGGGATGTTACTGTTCAGCCTGAAGAAAAGGAGGCTCAGATGGAATCTCATCAATGTCTATAGCTGAAGGAAGGGTGCAAAGATGATGGAGCCAGGCTCTTTTCAGTGGCATCCAGTGCAAGACAAGAGACAGTGGGCACAAACTTCAATACAACCTGGTAGCCCTGCTTGAGCAGAGGTTTGGAACAGGTGACCTCCAGAGGCTCCTTCCAGCCTCAACCATTCTGAATCTGTGATTCGGCATCTGCAAAACTTGCCAAAGCAGCGCAGCCAGAACAAGGAAGAGAAAGTGGGGGGAAAAATGTGCAGATCTGAAAGCACTTGTACACACAGTTACTATTCAAACAGGTTCTTCACAATTCTGAGTTAATGATTCCCAGAACAAGAAACAGATTCCCAACAGAAGGTACCCAACTCCTGAGTGTAACGTACAGGGAGCTCTGGTCCCTAACACAGCCCTCCTGATTCTGGGAACTGGTGCTGTGTTCAGTAGGGCAAGGGAAAAAAAAAAAAAAAAAAAAAGGCAAGCAGACCTGGTCTGCAACCTAGGCAAGTGGCAAGTACACACTGCCAAGCACACACAGTACAGCCTCAACTAGTCACAGTTGCACATGCTTGTTTTACTCCTTGCACTGGCACAGGGACACAGAAATGGCTGATTACTGTCTGCTGACTGGAGAACAGCGGCTTTCTGCTAAGAAGCTCAAAACTTTTGAACCACTCCAATGCCCCTGTCTTTTGACTGTCCAGTCCTTAAATAAAAACTGCTTTCCTGAGAGACTCTACCTATCTGTCACACACTTCTTCAAGGGCATCTAAGCTTTTTTAGGGTCTCACTTTCAAGTTCCCCTGGCGTAAAGGCTGCATCTGCACATACTCAAAAGTTACAGAGCTTTGAGATGCTTGAGTAACTCATGTCCACGTCTCCCTGGGAGCTGGAAACTTGGTGTTCTTCCAAGCAAGGTGTCTAAGAACAAAAAAAAAGTGGAACATGATTTTGTAGTGCATGTTGAAAACTGAGAGAAAGGGTTGGGCTGGACCCAATCCCATGAGTGATTGTTTATGTACCTGAAGGCTACTTAAAACAACAGAACACTTGGCAAGCTACCTGTGCACACTCTCTCTGGCCTATGAATCTTGGCATTATTTTCTACAGAGTGCAACGGTCCACATCTAGACAGAGGACTAAGAGTCTCTCTAAGCTATAGCTCAGAGGCAGCAATTCCTGAAAAACAGATTCAGGTCTCTAGCGTCCTGGTGAGCATTCTTAAACTGTTAAACTACTGTGTGAAAGATAGGACACCTATTCAGCAGCAGATTTTTAAAATAAAGTTGCTGTAGGAGTGACCTAGGCTCTGTTCTTGAAGATACATGGGCCTGCCATCAGGACAGGGGTTTGGACTGTGGCTGTGCAGCACTGGGATCTCACATACCAAACAGCTGAGTTGGGGGGTTCAATGCTAAACGGTAGCCATCCAGAAGTTATGGATTAAAACATTCAACCATCTAATCTCTAATTACCTTGCTTCTTATTCCACTAAGGTGAGGTGATTTAGGGACTAATCTTGAAACCTTACTCAGAAGCAAAAGATCTGCAGTCCTCAAAAACCACAGGCTATCCTTACCACATAACAAAATATATTTCGGTCAAAGAGAGTTGCTGGAAGTACAGGGTATTTTACAGCCGCCTCAACACTACTACAGAACACATGCTCCTCCCCACAGCATGTTACTGGACTGCAGCATCAGTAACTCCTGGCATTGTACATGTGACCTGTCTTTAAAAATGATGGGAATCTGACAAATTCTAAAAGACTTTAAGAGGAAATATTTGAAAACAAAAGC